TTAACCTTATCTAGTTCAACTTCGTTTATAACAAGGGCAGGTAAGTTAGTTTTAACACGTTTACAGCTTATCAGGAGTTCAACAGTTTTCTTCTCATTAATTACCATTTTGTTAATGCAGGACCATTCATAAATGTTATCACAGGCACTTTGCATACTCCTACAGTTATTAGAGAAGACAGTCTCTGAAGCAGTAGTATCATCCATATATTTAATCAATGGGAGATTAACATGCAGTCTGTTAATGAACACTATAAATAGGACTGGTCCTAGCCAGGATCCTTGCGGTATGCCACCAATGTAACATTGACATTTGTTAGCTAACCAGTTGTGTGTATTTCTTTGTGAAAATGAGTACCGCGGCGTACTCATTTTCACAAAGCATTTGCATCCCCTCTTGGAAAGAGGGATTCGAAATAATTGTCTCCATATCTTCACTAATTAAACTAATCACCGTAATTTAGCTTACACTTATGAATTTAGGGAGCACTTAAAATGTGAAATAATCATTTCACTACCAGACAAACTCCGAACTTTATTCATTCATTAGGCCTATATAATAGTTTCATATTGCTGTACTATATACTCCAACATCACTGGCGCATGGTAACAACCAACTGACTGCAAATCATTTCCTGTCACACATTACTCTCTATAACACAGCACCCCCTAGTTCCATCACCTTTGGATTGTTTCATTTTGACCATGGGTGAAGAAATATCCTATTAAACAGAAGATAACCCTTTTACAACAGTTCATGCTGAGTTGCTTTGTAACTTCAACTTATGGTTAATGAGTTAATAAGTCTTGTTGAAGTTTAGTATTTGTTTAGTAGATATTTGTTTTACTAATTAAAAGTTTAAAAAAAAAACACTTTAAAACAGTTGTTCTTTTAACTTTATTTTGAATAAGTTATGTGCGAGAAATATTTAAAATGTTAAAATGTTAGAATTCAACAGCAGCTTACAGTAACTGTATTCATTCTAAAATAGTTAGAATAAAACAATTAATCTTATATTGAATGTGTTGGTATCGAATTCAACACATTCAGTTTTAGTGCCGGTCTTTAATTAGAGGGATTCTAATTAGAGACCAAAGCTGCGAAAGACCACTAAAACCCCCGGGTCCCAAAGGTGGTCTTTAATTGGAAGGAGACCTGTATTTAATTTCTAGAAAATAACATTATTTGAACACGTTTGTAATCGATTTAATGTGTTTCCCCTCTCCATTTATTTCGCTATTTCAAGATACCATTGATCTAGGCCTATCTACTGTACTCAACTCCCTGTTTACTCACAGAAAATAAAGACTATTTTTTCACTTCTTAGTTTTATCATAGTGGCTACGTCTTCTATTTTGTGTCTTTCGTCCTTGTGTTTCTTATGAAAAGTTGACTTGGAGTAAATTTAATTCAATTTATTGGAATCGCTTTTCAGACAGTCGGCACATAAGAACTTGATGCATTCAAGTTAACAAAAATAGAACCATCAGAAATATATATAGGCCTATATAAAAAAAAAATACAAATGTAGACAGTAATATATAAAAATAAAAATATAGAATTAAGGTGTGCTGTATTTTGTTCAGTGGATGTAACGAATTTGCATAAGAATCCTTGGCAACGTAACGCAAAAGTGCATTCAGGCATGGCACACAAAATCGTTTCCTAGTCAATCGACGATTGCATGAGAACTTCACTGCGTCGGTTTCCTGGCCAAGATTGTGCTACGACGATTTCAGCTTACGCTTACGTCGAATTCACAACGCAAAAGTCGCAAGCGGTTTCCTGATCGACGATAGGACGACGTAGTCGTAATCAAATCTGCTTTCTAAAACGTCGACATGAAAAAAAACCGCCTTTACTTTGTCTGATGCATCTAGCTATAAATGGACCAGCGCAACATTATGCAACCATTACACAAAGAAGACCAAGCCATAGACAACACAGACAACATTATGTCAAATGGTGAAAAGAAAGAAAAGAATGACCCACTCAGGAATAATCAGGTCAGTCAGTATATGCAAAAAAACATATTGGTCAGTAACATTGTGAAATACTATACGTCTGTGTTCGTCACATTAATATAGAATGACGATGTAAACAAATAACGCCCTCAAGCGACCGATTTACAAAATGACGTCATTTTTAAAACTAATCAATGTGATCATAATGACATTACAATCCAAATGCTGTCCGACTGAAAACAAGCTTATATAAGGCGCAATACAGTTCAAGACGACGCAATCATGTTACGGCATAATGTAGGCCTACTTTCATGAGATGGTCCGTCACAAAATAATTTCATGGTCAATTTTACACAATGTCAGTCACATTTTTGAAGAAGGGGTGCGTCATGGCATGCAAAATTTACGACGCAATTCGACAACTTAGTGACGCACCCTTCCCGGGGGTCGTATAGTGCGTCATATAACTGACGGCTGCATTATATTACGCCCATGTCAGTATAACAAATAATAATTAGCTCCAATTTTAATACGCCCATGTATTAAATGTTATGTACCGATATTTACTTAAAGGTATTAAACCTTTGCATTCACTAAGTAGTAGGCCTATATACTATTATCTAAAATATACTATATACGACATTTTCTTTAGTGTTTCTTTATTCTCAAAAATGCATTGGGCGGATTTGGGTTGGGATATTGGCGACCCTGGCGTCACTAACGGCTGGACGATGTTGCACAGGGCAGTCCGGGATGACCTACATCATGACAATGAAGTGCGTATGTTAGTCAAAAAAGGTGACGGAGATGTCATCCATAAGCTGGCTGCAGCATCTGGTGGAATTAATGTCAAAGATCGACTTGGATTAACTCCTTTGCATCATGCTGTACGAGGTCGGCTTGTACACGAGGAAGAAATGTGGAGAGACTATGACAAAGGAACATGGCGGGAGGCAGACTTCATGTCCAACCTTGTTCCCACTAAGGCTAATATGTCTCTGGTTAGGTCGCTCATCGCGTCAGGGTCTGATCCAAGCGATATTGACAGATATGGTCATTCAGTTCTATGGCATGCCAAATATTTTGGTCAAGACGAGGTCACCTGCTTATTGGAAGGAGATTTAGAGTTTGCAATCCCCGACCAAAGCAAAGAAAATATTCAAATAGCTGTAAATAACGGAAATGAAATTGACGAAGACAATGGTATAGGAAATAATCCTTTGGTGGATTTATTACATAAAGTACCCCCACCTGGCAGCAATGCTACTACCTGGCCCAGAGTGGCTTTGCGGGAATTTGCTAAATTACAGTTACAGGAGGTACATTCCAATGACATTCAAGTACGAACCTGCGATAAAAGCCATGAAATGGTGACGTGGGAGTCCGATGTTCCATCAGAGGCAATCAGCCTCATGGCTGGAGGGAAGATGTTGCCACTGATTCTGAATTACGTCAGACAAAAAGCTAAAAATGACGAAAATCTAAGAGCTGATTTACATAGGTAAGTTAAATTTTAATAAACAATGCCTCAACATATGCCCAGTAATCAACAGGGGAAGATTTAATGCCCCCCCCCCCTCCTTTTTTTTTTTTTTTTTTTTTTTTTTTGAAAAGGAAAAAGAAAAAAGAAAAAAAATGGTCGCCCAAAACGCCTCAGAGGTTGCTTTCAGGCGTTTAGAACAGCCAATTTTCCTGTTTCCCGGACCCCAGGGAATGTTATCACGGTCGGCCCCACTTTTAGCTCCCCTTCTAAACACCTCTGGATCCGCCCCTGATCAGTCACAAGATACATGATACAAATATTGACTGCTCATGAGGGGAATGGTGAAATCTATTGCCCCGAGGTGATGTGGAGACCGTAGCCTATCTTCCCGAGGGCCGAAGTCCCAAAGGGTAAGCCGCGTTTCCACATCAGTAACCGATCATTTCGGTCGCGCTTAAAAAAAGGAAATAAAAAAAAACCGATTGACGAATTTATAATGATAATGAGGCCTAGAAATTTTGCGTTTTCGCAACTCCATCGGCGCTCCTCCACAAACCGCGACCGAAATGAAGCGCGACCGAAACGAAGCGCGACCGAAATGATCTGTCGTAGAGGTCGCAGTCCCCTTTACCGTCAGCAGTGCAGCGCGACAAGTAAAAAAAGTACTATATTTGAGAGGAATAGTACTTTCTTTTGAGGTATATAAATTACGGTACCTATAATGGTCTGTTTACATATTCACAACCAAGTTGTGTAGCTCAATTTTATTGAAATGCCTGTAACATTCTGTATGTGTACAATATTATTTATACTTCAGATCAAGTCCGCCAGAAACGCCAGAGGGAAAGCCTTCCGCAATCGAGAACCTGTTACGGTCACCAGCCATAAATCCAGGTTTCAGAAACAGGGGAGGTGTACTTGAGGTTCATGAACAGATGGATTGCGTGGTTCAACGCCTCGTACAGGAAATGAACGATATATCCCCAATGCTGCAACTTCGGGTAATTTTGGGAGGAAGTGTAAGTGAGAAAACCAAAATAGGTTTGCCGGACGAGTATGACTATCGCCTGTATATTGGAGCACTGGACGGCAAATGTTCTGTTGTGAGGGAAATTGAATACGATTTGAGTGTCCCATCTTGGCAAAGGAGAACAGTCAACATCCAAGTGTCCGATGACGTGTCTTCCTCGTGGTCCTCTTATTGTGACAACTCTAATGTTATCGACGCCGCGGCATTGTTTATGCACGTCCATGGCGTTATGTATAAGGCACTCTCGCGGGATATTTGGGAAGGTCTCGATATGTACTGGAAACCGTATGGAAGAAATGCACTGCACGTACAGTGGATGGGCAAGCATTGGCATGGCATGGCAATTAAGGCCGATATCATGTACTGCGTCGAGATCCAAGACTGGTGGCCGACCACTGTCCGACAGGAAAGTCACCTGCTTCCAAATATCAAAAGTAATCCATGCTGCGTATTACTGAGACCACCTTCCTTCCAACCGTCGTCCTGTGAACTGGAACATATTGTAATGTCACAACTTTCGGATGAGATGAAAACAGTTTATTCCATAGGCAAATTGGTAAACAGATTAACTGACTATTCATGCAAGGAGGATAAAGTGACTTCGTATGACCTTAAGAATGCACTATTTTATTACATGGAAATGAATGGGCAGACTGAAAATTTCAGTTCAGGAGAGAATCCAGAAGAAAGGGAGAACAAAAAGTGTGAGTATAGCTGGGGCGGAAGCTATAATGGTGACTCGGAATCATTGCCGTTAATGGTTAAGCATCTGAGAACTAAAACATTACAGGTATTCCACGATGGATTGTCGCTTTTAAGAGAGCATACGTCTTACTACTTTGGTATTAGTCGGTGGGCTGAAAAGGAAGACCAAAAAATCCGCAAAGCAAACCAACAAGAGAAATTCGAACAAATGTTGCTACTTTTGTGATCAGGACAGCCCATTTAGTTCTTTCTCAACTGCAAACACACAACAAAGCATTGACTTAGTTATGAGTCCTTGGTGAAAGTTTAAAGCCATTTCTTCCACTTGGGAGTCAAGGAAGAGTCGATTTGACCCCTGATTTTTAAAAAATCCAATCCAATCCAATCAGGTCATTTATAAAGCGCCTTTCTTTGCAGATACACTGTATGCTCGCATATAAATAAGACGACCCCCAAATTTGAGAAGGTTTTTGGACGATTTTTGTATATCGGGCGTATAATAAGACGACCCCCTGTTACAGCGTCGGAATTCCATATCTTTTCTGCTTTTTGTGGTCTTGATACTACCTGACTAAACGGAGTCAAATGCAAGGCTAATCTTCAATTCCATTTTATGAGTTTTTAAATGTTCATAAAAATCTTCTTTAACCGTATTTAAAATTGCGATCATTCATACTAACACACGACCTACACATTATACTAGTGGTGTCTTTACAGTAGTAAATTTGCGTGTTACGGACGTTCCTCACATACGACGAACATGATTTTAAAAATCTAAAATGTGTAGGTCGTGCGTATAAAACTTGGGGTATCCCCTGTTTTTTCGATTTTATTTTGCTATTTTAAGCCTCGTCTTATACGCGATTATTTCTTGCTGCATTAGTGGTCGAAATTGGAGCTTAATAATAATACTAAACATATATGCATCCACGCCAAATCCAATACTACCGTATGTGAAATGTGAAATATGACCTTTGATCTCTGAATCGATGAATGTCAGCTTATCTAGTAACTTTGAATGATGAATTGAGCTTTATCTAGTGTTTTGTTTGATGATTTTTATAAGCGGTACTGTACTTTTAAATCACTGATAGCATAGGTCTATCGGTCTGTCAGACGAGTACAGACTAGACGCGATACTCTGTTGGACCTGTGATTGAAAATAAAACATGTGAAAGCAAGGACTTAGAAGTCCTTGGTTTGTCAACATAAACTTACGAAAGCGTGAGGTCCACGAGATAATACATACGGCTTAAAGGAGTCCCACCCTTAGATCCTGAAGTGTTACGTAATCTAATATAAACACTGATTGACGAAAACAGCAAGAAAATACTGTTATAAAAGTGTTATTCCGAATAAAGTTAAACTTAATTAAATTTCACTATTTTAATTCTGAGAATTATTAATTTAATTCATGGAGTAAAGATCTGGGGCCGATGCAGACGGCGCGACCACAACCCCTAAATTGTAGGCCTTAATGAAAATAATTGTATTGTTGATATGAATATAATAGTACCGTTAAAATATTTGGGGTAAGAGTGTAATTTTTGGGAACCTAGCAGGCGCGGATCCAGGATTTTGTCTGACCTTGGCACAGCTGGGGTGGTCCTTGCAGTGTTGGATACAGAAATAGAAATAGAGGGGAACCTTCCCAGAGAGGAACCTTCACAGATAGACACCTCAGCCCCACCATACTTGGGGCAGTGTCGGCGCCAGCGGGGGGGGGGGGGCAGCAGGAGCTTAATCCCCTCATCGGGCAGAGCTCTTCGCAGTTGGACTAAAAATACAAAAAATAGGCCCACGCCAAGCCAACATATGTCACAATCAGAGAGTGTCATCTCTGGCCGTCCAGAGTTTACTATTCTTAAAAAAATCTCATTTGGGAGGGGGAACATCCTATCAAACCCTTCCCCCAGCTCGGGCCTACCAGCCCAAGTCCCCCTGTCGGACAGCTCAGCCCCCCCAAGAAAATATATCCTAGAGCCGCCACTGGGCTGAGAGGTAAGAAAAATTAAGATTACGTCGTCTCTAGATGGCCAGAAATGTCATTCTCAGGATTTGAATATAATTTTCAGTTTTTTCTCCATTCTTTAAAAATAATTTTGGACTCCCAACCTTGAGGTCTTGGGTTTCGAAACTCTCGCTGTGTAAGTCGCTTGGGTTGGGCAATGCACTTTATCTACGTTTGTCTCTCTCTCTATCCCAGGACTATAAGTGGGTAACTGTTAGGATGTTGTTGCATTGAATGTACTAAGTTTCGTGCGCTAAGCAAGTAGCACACGACTAGGTATACTCCTCAGGGAGCAGAGAAGGTTGCGCTTTGTGCTGGTATGCCATTGTACGTTATCCAGCGACCAGGGGTAATAACGCTCAGCGCCTTTCATCGTTCAATTTGGAATTGGCGCTATATAAATATTTGAGTATTATTATTATTTTACGGCATCTAAAATTCTTACAATATTGTCTTACCTCAGCCCCAACCATGGTGTGTACCTTTAATTAATTAGAGTTTTTTCTTTATTCAATTCGTCAAAAATAAAAAAGAATTAAAAGGAAAATTTAAATTCCATTTCCGTGCATTCAGAGGTGGAAAATACTGAGATTTTCGCGTCACCCCCAACCACTGTGGCGCTGACGTGCTGTGGGCTCTCATTTCATCAGCACCCACTTTTCATAAATCCTGGACAGTTGCTGAAAACAATACGGTAGTTAAGCCAAATATAGTTTCATTCGTTTTGTTGTTTATGTGAATGTTTGATAAGTTATTACACTGTTTAAAACAATGTTAAAAACACATAGTGTGCCAATGGACACTTACGACTGAGCGACTCTGAATTAGTAGTGGTTATACGTAACGTTTGCACTGCACTGTATCATGCGCTATAGAAATGGAAGACCATAATGTAATGAGAATGTCTGGTGAGCCTACAGTAGCCTACATTCAGCGTAAAAGTGTACGGTAATGTACAGGCCAGGTGGATTTAAACAATGTCCTAATGGTAATGTTCGAAGATCTGGTTTACATTAACATTCGACAGTAGCTGCCCTACTGTTAATAAACATTGTTAATTCAGATTTAACCAAAAAAAAAATCATTAAGCCCATCGACTGTGTGATTGTAATATTTATTGCTTTCCAAGTTAACAAAAATATGCAAATATCAATGTATAACATCAAGGTTAATCAGCATTGCATACTTCGTCGCTCGCATCACGAACTAACACAATCAAAGTAGATTGTGTTAGTTCGTGAAATCACAGTAGCGCGTCAAAACGAGCGCGTATTGGTTGTCAAGTAATTTTGTATTCTTTACCACACAAAAAGTCCTTAACAACAACAGCGCGTATTTTGACGCGCTGTGTTGACGAACTAACACAATTGAATTTAATTGTGTTAGTTCGTGATGTGAGCGACGACTTGAAGTATACTTCAATGACAGTGAACACGATACATCAGTCTGCACTAGCCTCAGTACAATACAAATTTGCAATATTATGTAGGCCTATTAAATCACCATGTATGTAATACATATAAAATCACGAAAATAAAGAAAAAAATATTAAATCACCATGTACCGTATGTAATACATATAAAATCACGAAAATAAAGAAAAAATATTAAATCACCATGTACCGTATGTAATACATATAAAATCACGAAAATAAAGAAAAAATATTAAATCACCATGTACCGTATGTAATACATATAAAATCACGAAAATAAAGAAAAAAATATTAAATCACCATGTACCGTATGTAATACATAAAAAATCACGAAAATAAAGAAAAAAAGTATGTTGATGCGTTTCCCCTCTCCTTTTATTTCACTGTTTCAAGATACCATCGCTCTACTGTACTAGAAAATAAAGACTATTTTTCCACTTCCTGGTTTTGTCACGTCACATAATTATTCTCGGTATCTTTTATTCAATATTCAAAAAAAATATATAAAATACAATAAATTCAAAAAATAGCAGCACAAGCTGAATTACAATTTGAATGTACAATTAAAAAATAGCAAAAAAACCATAGATTTTATAATATACAAATCGAAGAATGAGGAATTAATTGAAAAAGCTATTTCCAAATTACACAGCAAAAATACAATAAAAAGACAATAAAATACAATTAAAAAAAATTAATAAAAATAATTCTCGTCGCCTATTGGATGCTTCTTCCATTTCGTGTCTTTCGTCCTTACGTTTCTTATTTTATTTATTTATTTATTTGGATTTACACCTTCAGATCGGTGGCACACGTTTAAAGCGAACGGTGCATCCTTATAATCAAACAAATGTAATAAAGGAACAGAAAAATATAAAACAAATTAACAAAAAATCTCTAGTCTACCCACAAGAAGCACCATATCAAATTTACACAATTGACACCAATCGTTAGTTCACAAATAAAAGGGTAAAATGAAAAGTTAACGTGGAGTCAATTCAATTCGTTTGAGACATAGGCGTATTCGATTTTTCTCGGTTTTGTTTAGCATTAAGCTAAACATATTATTTCTAATTGTTTCTTTACACGCCTCCGTTTAATTTACCTCACTGTCTGTAAGAATTGTTAATTTGGATGCATCACTATTATTGTTGTATGTGCCACCGATCTTAAGGTGTTATTCCTAATACATTGGTTGATTGATTGGCTGGTCCTTTTCCGATGAGTGATTTACTACTCAGTGTGCTCGGGGTGCTCATTAAACAGCGAGGAGTTCGAGAGCCGCTCTTGTGAGGAGTTCGTGCTGCTCGTGCGACCAGTCGAATACGACATGTGCAGTTTGAGTAGAAAGAGCTGCGAATATGGTGCATTCAAATTAACAAAAACAGAACCATCTGAAATATAAAAAAAACTACAAATGTAGACAGAAATATATATAGAATTAAAGTGCAGGGGTGGCGCCGGGGGAGGGGGAAGCCCGTCGGGGAGAGAAAAAATAGGCTATATATGTATTTTCTACACATTAGTAGACCTCAAAATCGATCAAATAAGTTTTTCAAACCCCTCAAGGGTGGGCATAAAAAGCGATGGGAGGGCCAAAGTTAATTTTTGATTTAACACCGAGGGCCGCACCCAAGCTTTGATGTTTCCAGTAAGCTTGCAAAAACCTCAAGAACTGCTTTTACACCACTTTATTCTCAGTTTTAATGTTACCTTTTATATATGATTTTTTTGTCGGGCCATAAAATGTTTTGTAGCCAATGTGTTGCTTGGCGCAGGGGCTGATCTGGCGGACTAGGCCTATTATTTGTGTTCCGGTATACATATATTGCATACCTATTCTTTATTCCTTGAATCGATGAACCCCAAAAAGAAAGCAGGGTCGGGGTCCTCCTCAGGAAAATTTTAATTCCTAGATGGCGGGAAATGAGCTTGAAAAGGTAGGTCTAGATTTTTTCCCCAAGGGCGGTCAGGACCCCCTGAACCCTCAGGACCCCTGACCCCTCAGAAACATCAATGTTGGCATGCCGCACACATGGGTTTTTTAATTCATTTTCGCGGGCCGCCATGCCCTAAGATGTCACATTCGAGAGATTTTGAGCGACGCCCACTTTGTTGGGAAATACCTGGTCCCATTTTTATACCTCCATGAAAGTGTGCTGTATTTTGTTCATGTTGATGTATCGAATAATATTTGCATAAGAATCGTTAGCAACGTACCACAATGGAGTGCATTCAGGTATAATACAGTAGCATACAAAATCGCGGCTTCCTGTCAAATCGTGTTTGGTCGACATATAGCGTGAAAATTCACTGCGTCGGTTTCCTGTCCAGCATTGTCGTAAACAAACTGCTTTATAACGTCGACAGGAACCAGCCTGTACCTTGTCAGATGCAACACAAACGCTTTATGGTGGCCCAGCACAACATTTAATTCAGCCATTTTACAGACAGAAGACCAGACCAGAGACGTGTTCCTTGAAGGAGGCGGTGTGGGTCGACACGTACAACATTATTATGTCTCCGAAACGGTTAAAAAAAACCGAAGCCTGACGAAGGAAAGACTGCAGGCCCACTCGGGAATAATCAGGTCCGATATGCACCCGGTACTGTAGCGCCATTTTTAATACGTATTGTATGTATTAAATAATGTTACCGATGTTTATTTAAAGGTAACTTTGCATTCACTAAGTAGTAGATGCTTTTAATAAACATTATAAGTAGGCTATAGGCCTACTCTTGTTATGTATTTACGCATTAAACTCGCCATGTATTGTAATGCACGTTATGACTCATGTTTGATACGTTTTGTTAATTTCTCGAGAACATTTAACTTGTGACGTGTGTGTTTGCTCGCTTACCGCAATTTACATAAACATGAATGTATTGCAAACGACATGTTCTTTATTATTTGTATTTTGTATTTCATTTTTTGTAAAATGCAAAAGGGCATTGGCCCATGGTACTATATATATATTTTTTCTTTTCTTTCTCTTTCCATCACTTATATATGAAGGGGTGTCAGGTGTCGCCCTGCCCCTAAAATCCCCTACTGTCATACATTCATTATTTACCGTGCATGTTTGGCAGTCAAAAGTGGTTTACATTAAATATTAGACAATTAGTCGTACACATTAGTCGTACACATGGAAGTATTTCATGCTACTTTGTAACATATACTTTTTATCGTAAATTATCATGTTAGCTAGCTATATCCAATGACTGAACAGGCAACAATTCTTAAAATATGACTTTTTTGAGATATTAAACAAAACTGTCACGGCGTACCGTACATTATAAATAACGAGTTGCATGAATTTTGTACGTATATTTACCTATTTGTCTTTTATCAATATTTAAAGTCATATGTAAGGATATTGAGTGTTTTGTACGCAGCAACAATTATTAAAAACATAATAATACAGGATTTCAATGTAGTGTCCTCCCGGGAGATTATGGTTAGTTAGTATGTATCGATTTCCACGTTCAGAGGAGATACTGGATCTACAATGTCGACCGCCTGCATTGAAACGGAAAAAATAACAGCATAAAGAATGTTTTCATTCATTTAAAATAATTCTTTATCACAAAACTGTAAGTACACTTCAGATTATGCATACTTCTGCTGCAAGTATAAAATTCACTTTCAAAGCTTGGATAAAGCAAACCAAATCACAATTACGTCCAAACAGGGAGAAAACATGGCGAGTGTGTGTATTAAAAAGTCAGACACGGTAACATTAACTCTTTATCGGTTCAAATTTAGGATTTCGTAGTTGAAATGACAGCATTGAAAGCCATAATTCTCCCATGTGATACGATTACAGACATCACCACTAACCAGTGATTCTTTTATGTTGATGAAATATATTTTTTTAACAGGTGTTGCCTAAAAGCCATAATCAATCAGGAATCGACATCTCCACCAACGACATGGCTATGACATCAAAAGTATCCGAACGAAATCAGGTTTACTATGATGCTGTGTGCTCCGGAGACCTGGTAACTGTCCAAGCACTTATATTACAAGGCGTTGATCTGGATTGGCCGGGAGGTGATGGTAAAATTCGACCTTTGCACCAATCAGCGTGTAATGGCTACCTTGAAATAGTAAAGTGCCTGGTGGACGCTGGAGCCACAGTTGACTGTGTGGACGATGAGGGGTTCACACCTTTGATCTGGGCGTCTGTGATGTTTGAACACGACATCGCAGCTTATTTAGTTTCAAAGGGCGCCAACATATCCTGGATTCCTGATGATGGAAAGAGTGCTATTATGAACGCAGCCAGTTCCGAAGGCGGGCAGACTTCGCACATGCTGATGCTGGCGGCTTTGGGTTGGGATATTGGCGACCCTGGCGTCACTAACGGCTGGACGATGTTGCACAGGGCAGTCCGGGATGACCTACATCATGACAATGAAGTGCGTATATTAGTCAAAAAAGGTGACGGAGATGTCATCAATAAACTGGCTGCAACAGATGGATTGCGTGGTTCAACGCCTCGTACAGGAAATGAACGATATATCCCCAATGCTGCAACTTCGGGTAATTTTGGGAGGAAGTGTAAGTGCTGTCTCTTATACACATCTAGATGTGTATAAGAGACAGTGCTGATGCTGGCGGATTTGGGTTGGGATATTGGCGACCCTGGCGTCACTAACGGCTGGACGATGTTGCACAGGGCAGTCCGGGATGACCTACATCATGACAATGAAGTGCGTATGTTAGTCAAAAAAGGTGACGCAGATGTCATCAATAAACTGGCTGCAGCATCTGGTGGAATTAATGTCAAAGATCGACTTGGATTAACTCCATTGCATCATGCTGTACGAGGTCAGCTTGTACACGAGGAAGAAATGTGGAGAGACTATGACAAAGGAACATGGCGGGACGCAGACTTCATGTCCAACCTTGTTCCCACTAAGGCTAACATGTCTCTGGTTAGGTCGCTCATCGCGTCAGGGTCCGATCCAAGAGATATTGACAGATATGGTCATTCAGTTCTATGGCATGCCAAATATTTTGGTCAAGAAGAGGTCATCTGCTTATTGAAAGGAGATTTAGAGTTTCCAATCCCCGACCAAAGCAAAGAAAATATTAAAATAGCTGTAGACGAAGACAATTGTATAGAAAATAATCCCTTGGTGGATTTATTGCATAAAGTTCCCCCAAACGACAGCAATGCTACTACCTGGCCCAGGCTGGCTTTGCTGGAACTTGATGAATTAATGCACAGCAGAGGTATCGGTTTGAAGGATCAAAGGACAATGGCACCAGAGCTGAATCAGTTAGACAAAGTACATTCCAATGAAATTCAAGTACGACCCTGCGATAAAAGCCTTGAAATGGTGACGTGGAAGTCCGATGTTCCATCAGAGGCAATCAGCCTCATGGCTGAAGGGATGATGTTGCCAGTGTTTCTGAATTACGTAAGACAAAGAGCTAAAAATGATGAAGATCTAAGAGCTGCTTTACATAATAGGTAAGTCAAATTTATAATTCCACAACATATGAATTCCAAATAATTCTAAGGTGTTATAATATGCAAAGTAATCAATCACAAGGTATCTATATGGTTTGTTTATGTATTCACAATTGAGTCGTGTACCTCAATAATATTGAAATGTCTGTAACATTCTGTATGTGTATAATATTATTTGTACATCAGATCGAGTCCACCAGAAAGCCCAAAAGGAAAGCCTTTCGCAATCAAGAACCTTTTACAGTCACCAGCCATAAATCCAAGTTTCAGAAACAGCAGAGGTGTACTTGAGGTTCATGAACAGATGGATTGCCTGGTTCAACGCCTCGTAGAGGAAATGAACGATATATCCCCGATGCTGGAACTTCGAGTAGTTTTGGGAGGAAGTGTAAGTGAGAAAACCAAAATAGGTCTGCCGGACGAGTATGACTATCGTCTGTATGTTGGAGCACTGGACGGTAAATGTTCCGTCGTGAGGGAAATTGAATATGACTTGAGCGTCCAATCTTGGCAAAGGAGAACAGTCAGCATCCGAGTGTCGGATGACGTGTCTTCATCGTGGTCGTCGTATTGTGACGACTCTAACGTTATTGACCCTGCAGCGTTGTTTATGCACATCCATGGCGTAATGTATAAGCACCCGATACGCATACAG